CGCAGGAAGAAATCATGATAAACCGTTTCACAACAAGGTGATGGATTGAAATAATTTGTTCAATGACATTTTTATCCCCTCATGCGCTGCAACTAAGTGACCAAGTTCTATGATGGACAAGTCTATTGTTGTTCCTCTATATATATATATATTTTGCCTTTTGCAATTTTTTTCAAGCCACTTTTTGACCTTTCTTTATTTTTCCTTCCTCTCAACTGTTGGGGAGCAAACTACTCGGTGAACAAGCCAGCGTCGCGTACAACTTGCTCTGCCAAATCAGGGTTCATCTCCGCTCCACGTGAGCCTCGGCCTCAGAGGTGTGGTTCAATCGATCTCTTTAGAAACTAAAAAATAAATCAGCTCGTATCCCCACTTGATAGAAACCCAAAACGAGTCCCAAACACACTCTTTCTCAAAACTGCCGTGCCACACTCACTGAACACGAGTCATGGCCGCCAGCATGGTCTGACTTGGGCAGCCCCCGCAGGCTGAAATCACCCAATTGTACACTGGGCCAATGGGATTCAAGCCTTCCTGCGATCGAGGCGTGGCATCAACACTCTGCAGCAACGCAAAGCAAAACAAACTACAACTCCCACATTCGAGTGGCAGGGAGACAAAATGATATCAAATGAACCTGCGCACGACACAGAGACACATTTATATAAATGACTAAACGACGTGAACCTAGGCTTGAGGCCAGGGGGTGAACGAAAGCTGGCCAATGCGAAGCAAGAGCAACTCCAGCTAGCTGAGGCTAGCTTTCGTGATCAGCTGGTGAGTGGGCAAGGCAATCTCAGGAGCCACCATGTGGATTCTTCCCCGCAATGCATTTTTGGGAGTTGGCTGATGAAAATGATGAGGATGATGAGTAAGAGGCACCTTGGCTGGGAACGGGGACAGAGTGAAGGAAGCAATAGTATGGGGTGGGGCTTTGCATTTTCGGATTGGTAGGTATGAGAAGAACCAAGGGGAATAGGTAAAAGAAGAACCATTGTAATTATACATAGAGTTTGGCAGCAGCAGCAGCAGCAGCAAAGCACCAGGCAGCAACACCAGCAAAGCTCCAGACAGCAGGAGGAGCACCAGCACCGGCAGCAAAGCAGCAGTAACAAGCCAACACCAAACAGCAGCAACAGCAGCAAAGCGCCAGCAAAAGCAAAAGCAGCAGCAACAGCAGCAAAGCGCAAGCAAAAGCAGCAGCAGCAAAGGAGCAGTAACAAACCAACAGCAGGCAGCAGCCTTAGCAGCAGCAAAGAAAAAGCAAAAGCAACAGCAGGCAGCAGCAAAGCAGCAAATAGTTTGGTGGAAGCCGTGGTTTGGTGTCAACCGTGGTTGGTGCAAACCGTGGTTTGGTGCAAACGGTGGTTGGTCAAAAGCGTGGATTCGTGTAAGCCGTGGTTGCTGTAAACCGTGGTTGGAGCAATCCGAGCAGCAGCAGCAGCAGGATGTTCACTTGAGAGAGGAGGGGGTGAATGAAAGGTAGCAGGCAATCATAAGTAACCCTGGTAGAAGTCCATGACGGCGTCAAAGGTGGATGCATGTGACAAACAGCGACGGCGCAGGGGGGGAATGATCCAGGGGGCCCCCCCCCAAACAGAATCATTACTTACAGGACCAAACTCAATGCACAATCCCAACTCCAGATTGTAATACATTTTTGCTAAAGCAAGGGGAACTCAGGTAGCTCAAGCTACCTTTCGTGATGAGGCAGCTTGATGAGATGAAAAGCTCATGGCCATCTCCAAGAGAACATCAGACCGTCCGCAGGGGGAGTTGAACCAAGCAGCAAAAGGTTTAATTGATTTAATATGATTTAATCAAGTATTTGAGGTTTGGGCTAGCTTTCGTGACCTGACTTGCAACCTGTTGAAATCCTTGGAAAACAACTCGCATCGCGGCATCTGACGCACCAACCGGCTGCAACTTGCGATTGCTCATTCTCTTCATGGTCGCTCGTCAGCTCCATAGGCCCCAGAGCTATTTTAAGTGGAACAACGATCTCACGCCGGATCCACGTCTACATTGTCTACACAAGACACCAACAGGCCCGATCACAAAACTGCGCGGCTTCTCAAACATCTCTCGAGCCTATAGCCTCTTTATTGCTGCGGTGGTGATTCCTTAACACCCAGCTGGATTGCCGGTCACGCCATTGGCTTCTCTCAATCTATGAACATTCAGTTGGAAGAGCAATTTCTACCACTTCCCTCTGCAACGACGCCGCAGCCAAGAATCTTGCTTCATGAACCCATTGTTCTTGAACAAGAACGGAAATGATTTCGGGCCCATCGCCCTTGCACAGCTTTCGATCGGTTTCCCATTCGCAGTGGCCAAAGTCGGGCCCTTTTCTGAAGAGCCTGGTGTACTTCTTAAAGGTATGCAATGGTACGCGTATACCGCTCTGCTTGGTTCGCATCCTGAAATCATCACACTGGCAAGGCGAAAGCAAAGCTGGTAGGACAAGGACATCTGTGGAAACAAGAGCAATGCGTGCCAAACTTGTTCCACATCCCAGCTTGGTGAAAACTCGGCTCCTGGATCACAGCTCACACTAGCACTATTGGTCTTTGTCCTGGCTCGCTACTTGGGCGTTAGGGCGTTGCAGCGTCGCAGCTTACAGCCTTCAAAATAAAGGGCCGATATTGATCAAAGCAACTCCGATGCGACAGAGTTGATCAACACTCGACACGAGTCGAGGTCACGCACCTGGCTCGCGCAGGGCTGGAGTTCAGTTGTGATGACATGTGATTACTGCCGTGCATTTCCTCTGCAGCGGCCTTGACTAAGTTTCCGAACTCGCTGCACCTTTGATTTTTGCAACGCTGTACCTTTGATGCAAAGAAATATAGCGTTGATAAAGGAGGGTTGGGCCAATCTGTGTTGTTAAATCCCGTTGGGCAATCTATGACAGCTTGGCTTGTCAGAGTCTTGACAAGATCTGTATTGAGCAACAGGCCATTGTCGGAGACAAAAGTGGTGGCAGTGGTAGTGATGTTGTGACAATTCTGCCCAATATGGGGCACCGAATTCGAAAAACAAAAACATATGTACTGTAATCCCTGCTGGCACTGCTCATGAAAACAGCTTGGAACAGAATACCACCGAACAAACTAGGCCAAGTGAAAAAAGCTAGAGACTCTTCAAACTTCTGTTCTATATAGCATGTTCTAGCCAATTCGGGTTTGGTAGATTTGGGCTGGTGATGAGGCTTCAGGCTTTATGCCTAGAATCAATCCAGCCTTTTCCTGGAGCAGCTTGGTTTAGTGTGTTCAATGTTTTCCTCAGACACCTCGCTGAGCATGGAAGGTGTCTCGGATACCCAGCCTCTTCCATCTGAAAGAGCCACGCAGCAGCTTCCCGGGCACGTCCCGCACGCCCCAAACCAGTGACCACCCGCGCCTCAGGGCCATGGATGATTTCGAGTTCATGCCTTCAATGTTCCTGTTGGGGCTTTCGATGTTGCGTTTGTTTGCTTTGTGGACATAATATTCACCAGGAACAAGAAGCTACTAGGGGCTCCTGGCCTTACTACTAGGAGCGATCGGACGCTACGAACGGGGCTCCTGGCCGATGTCGTCGCTGGAGGGCGCAAACTTCGAGCCAGCTCAAACACCAGTGCCGCCGAGAATCGTATGCAGCTTGATTTTTGGGCAGTCCAAGGTCCTCTGAGAACCGAACACACAAATGCAGTTTCATGTTGCATACTTGTGTTTTGCTGCTTGCTGCCTTGTCCCGTAGCTCTAGACTACCCTTCTTGGCGTAACCTTTGAGGAGCAAGTTAAGTGAATCTCTGACGTGTGACACTGCCATCACCAACAACAAAAAAGCAAAATATACTCTTGTCTTCAACCGAATGCACAAGAGCAACAATATTCTGCATAGTTGCAGAATTTGCAAGCACTCAGATTCATGCATATTCATTGAATTGTGCCTTTGTTCAGATTGACACGCATGCCTCAAGTCAAATACCACATTGGCCTCCATGCGGATCAGCATGTCTATGGCATCATCAACCATTTTGGCCTTGGTTTCCCGTTGAAATCAACAGGGAGATTCTCCAAACCAAATGCTTGGGCGATCCCGACTTCTTGTGAGGCACACCCACCTGGCCCACCTATCCACTCTTGGCGTCTGTTGGCTAAGAACGTTATGCCTCTGGGATGTTGCTTGCAATAGAAACACAACTATAGCTAGCACTGTTCAAGGTCTTCTTCCTTGCAAGACTTGCCATAGTGTCGAGATGTCCCAATCAAAATGAGGCTCAGCGTGATCCCATGCATAGCTCTCCAAGTTGTCCTTTTACATGACCATCTTGAGCCCCGGTCCTTCGTGAGCGCACTGATGACTGTGGCATAGGTGACTTCATCCGGTTGCACTCTCGCCTCTGTTTTGACAACTCTGGGGCCCTACTTGCGGCGGCCTCCAACCTACCAGCGATGCCCTCCCACCTACTAGCGATGCGCGAACTAAAAACCAAACCATGGCAGGTTCTTGCCATCTTCCTTCTCAATGTATCGCGTGTTGGTCAAAACAAGCCTGTCCCAAAAGGGGGGCTCCATGATGAGGTTTACTAGGCTTGCTGACAAACATTGAGATCTAAGTTGCCAAACACTTCCATCCTATTCTTTTTATTTCTTTATCAAACTTATCATAAAGTGTCGCCATTTCATCACCGTCTGTATCAACGAACGACACACACACACACACTCCTCTTTGTTTCAGTTTCGTTCCCCTGTCCCCAACGGTCCGGAACCTCCTGCATCTGCGCAAGCCAACGCTGCGCCTGACAGGAAACGCTGAGCCATGCGTTTCGAAGGATAGCATGGCATAATATCTACCCAGTTGATTCACGTGTTACTCCAATCTAGACTGAACAAACTAGGCCAAGTTGGTGGTAACTTCCAAATTAAACCTTGTCCACCAGTGCAGGTTCTCTAGTTCTTGCCTATCTACTCCCGTGAACAGCTTAGGCTTTCATGCTTCGGATGACTGGTGGCCCGTCTTTGGATCGTGCGCTCTTTTTGCAGATCGATGCAGGCTTTGGTGCAGGCCTTGGCGGCCGTTTTCACAGGTAGGAGACAGTGATCTCACAACAAAAGCACTAAACGCGAGCGCCGCTCTGTTAGAGGTGTTAAAGCACCTGCAACCTCAGATTCTGCTACGATGGTCAGCATCTTGAAACACTTTCCAGTTGCTGCAATCGTGTAAATAAGAACTGTTCTCATTTGCTTAGATTCAATCTATTTCTACGACATGTGAGATTCTTTTCCTCCAAGATGCAAAGACTGCTGCACTGTACGCCACAGCGTTCGTCTCAAGTTTGGCCTCATATCACGAGTGAAATCCAAGGGGAACATTAAACACACATAAACATACCATATAAAACGATATAAACCATGGTCCAAATGAATTACTCTGTAGCTGTTCTCCGCCGTGCCAAGGTCAAACCTGTCGGAAAAAACTCTGATTCTGGCATCATTTGGTTGTGAAAATAGGGAGAACATGGGAGAACCCCATTTTGATTTTCGGGCAACAGAACAAATAAACAGTCACACGCCTTGCGGGTGCTCCCTCCCACCCCGAAGTCACAGCGCAGGTGGGTTCTGAGTCCTTTCTATGTATACAATTGCCAGTTACCCTGCTGGCAAAAAAAAAACATAGACTGACTGTGAAACATTAGGCCAAGTGGGATCTCGTATTCCAATACCACCCATTGCTCTTTGTTCATTCATCCTGCCAAAAACATCTCATCTTTCTGGCCTCGGCGGACTGTAGCAACTTTAGTGCTGAGACCCAAAGCCCTGCAGAAGCTCCGCAAGTGATGCAGGCACCTCAGCGTAGCTTTTCCAAACCCGTCTACCGTCTACCGGACTGAACGAACCGTACCAAAGCACTCTCGAAGCTGGATCGATTAAACACTATCATGCCAAAGGATGCCAAAGGCACCATAGGACACGATTGAAACCTCGAGTGCTTGCTGTTGCATTTTGGACAATAGCGAGGAGGCCATTGACCAATGTGCTCCTTGCAATTGCACGCGCGCACACACATTGGATCCAGCCCGAGCACATGGGAACGTCTGCAAAGCCGCCGGGTAGCAAACAGGATATGAGCAGCAACCGGCTTTTGAGGGGCCAGCCTAGCTTTGTCAGGCCCCAACACTTTGAACAAGTGCATCAAGACATGGTCTTCACATGCCCCCACATGAAAGAGGGGAGGGGCCAATCACCTGTGGAGGCTTCACCAAAAAACTAGGAGTACTTTACTTCGGCTGATCCCGGATCCCCAAGCGAACAGGCTGTAACAGGCTTAACATGTTTTCACACGTGTTAGTCTAGTCTGTGTTGTGACATATCATTTATCAAAAAAAGGTTTGTTCTGGACAGTGTTCTGACGTCCTTGTTGGCGCGCGTTCTGACATTTGTCCTGCTGTGAACTCTGGCGTGCGCTGTGAGGAATGGTCCGACTTTGGTTTTGATATTTGTTTTGGCATGCCACCAGCTTGCCATTTGTTCGGACATATGCTCTGACATAGGATTTGACATCCTATATGGCAAGTTTATCATCTGACATCCTTTCTGGCGTACCTTCTGGCACTCTACCTGGCATCCATTCTGACATCCTTTCCGGCAAACCTTCTGGCACATCTTCCGGCATTCTTTCTATCAACAATTCTGACATCATCCTATCCCGCATTCAATCTGCATAGAAATATTTCCTTGCATATCTACTGACATATCTTCTGACATCCTTTCCAGCTATCGTCTATTCTAACATCTTCTGACATCCTTCCTGGCATTCTAACACCGTTCATACCGGCATCTCTTGGCATTTTTATCTGTCATATCTTCTGAAGTCCCCGATGGTCCGCAGGTCCGTGCGTGCCCAGAATGGGCTCGAGCTCTCTATGGTACGCAGGTCCGTGCGTAAGTACATGCGCGCCCAGACTGGCCTGCTACTCTCTATAGTGTGCAGGTCCGTGCGTGCCCAAGCTGGGAAGGAGCACGTCCGTGCGTGCCCAAACTGAGCTGGCGCTCTCTATGGTGTGCTGGCACTTGCTGTGACATGACGTGACATGGCAGGAGAAGGAGGGCGAAGGAAGGAGTAGCGCTTCGTTAAAATCTAAAGACCCTCACCTGGCAGGTGAGGTAAATCTACATTCCACGACCGCTCTCTACTAGCTTGGTCATCCATCGGGGGCTCATGTCAACATACCACATTCACAGTCACTCTTCACTCATTGTCGAACATTGTAATCGCATGTAATCACCATCATTCAGCCTAGATGCTTTCCTCGCAGGCGCTAAGCACACAGTTGCATGCAATCGATGTGCGGTGATGAAACTTGTCCAAAAGCACACATGCAAGCTTCCAATCACCCTTGCTCTTACAGGCGTTGGCAGCAGCGTTGTAGGTAATAGCCTTGGGTCGACCACAAACACGAGCATTCAAGGCTTAGATCTTGCCAGCCCTTGGTTTCATTGCTTGTCCAGGCATATGCGGTTTGGCACACAAGTCTCTTAAAATGCACACTCACAACAAAGGCTATGTCGCCCTCTGCTGACGTTTTGCACAGGGACCTATTTGCATGTTCTTTCATTGGGCCACTGGCAAGTGACACCGCGACACCTTCCGAACCCGAAAGGGTCCCCTTCCAAACTGTGGAACCCACACCACAGGATGGTGAACTCCCGAAAGTAACACCCAAACTCCGGGCTAAGTGCTTTGTCACAGGTCAGGGCCATTGTTGCGGTGCCACTGTCACATGTAGCAGTGTTCGAACAAGTGCGAGTTGATGGTGCCAGGCTTTTTCTTCTTGGCAGCCACTTCAGGTGGCAAGTACATATTCTTCAAACCTTGCGATGCTCTATCCAAGCATTCCGTAACGGCCATGATACACTTCAAGGACTGTGAGGTCTTGCCCAACCATCACAGTTGACCATCTCTAGGCACAAGACCGGTGCAAAGGGCAAGGGATTGTTACAGTTGTGATGCTGTGAGCGCTGCAAAGTCTCCATGGCAGTTGGTTTCTGTCTGATCTGCTTGTCACAGAACGCTTGCTTTGTTTTGGCCGCGTCAGAGGAGCCGTGCACTTTCTTGCCCTGGCACCATAAAGATTCAGTTTAGGATTTGGTACCAACAATTTCGGCGATGATCGTGGTGAGACGGTGGACTGTGACATTATGCTGGTGATGATGAAGATCGGATTGATATCACCATGACAGTTATCATCCTATTCGGGAAATAATCATCATCACCCTCATCATCACCGTTGTCCACAACATTCGCACAATGTCCTTCGAATGGAATGTTGTTGCCCCCCTCCACCACTCCCACCCCCTAGGTCTGGTGGAACGCCCTGTGATCTGGATGATGAAAAGTATATGAAAGTCGTGGACCGTGTGGACCGTGTTGTGATATATAAGTCTATTGCAAAAGTCTCTGAAACGTTGGGCGCTCTCCCTAGTGGCCCTGAAGGTGCAAGAATCTAATGGCGACGTGGACAAAACAACCCACGTCTTTATCTCCACACACTCCAGAAGCCACTCACTCTACAAAAATTAACCCTAAAAGCACAGCGCATACCCCCAAGACTGCAACATGATCTGTTTTTGGAAAACTCAGGGCCGAACATTGGCCCGGACTCCACAAGTGTGGATGCTCCAAAGCAAATGCAGGGCTTCTTGCCATCGTGTACTTTGTGCACAAGTGCTGATTGCGGCGTTGAAAGAGATCCTTTGTTGCCAAACAAATTCAATCTCAGTTGCAAGGTGGGTGTGTTTTGGAATAGGGAGACTTCTATTTTGACTCCCAGTATTGGAACACCAACAACAACCCATTCATTGAGTGTCTCATTATTCCAATACACGCCTATGTCGCCTATGTCTTCTGTTTGGGTCTTCCGCCAAGTCTCACATCGGCCTCTAGGTCATCTGTGCGCAAGTCCTCCAGAAGTTGCAAAGCTTCCTGCCAAGGATCTCAGGGCAGCTCCAAGGACAACACTGAGACCTTGTTATTTTTGGCAGTTGAAGACCTAGACTTCCTTTACTGTGAGATCTAATTTAGGCTGCCTGATACTTCCTGCTGTGTCTAGAGGGCCTTGGGAAGCCAAACCTTTACTGTCAAACGTGTTTCATCGTGTTTCTAACTGTTCCATCTCAGCATTCGGCATCTGCTCAATTCCTATAACCATCCTTCAAACCTCCCAAACCTTCCCCAACACCTCCCATTTCGCCGCCACTTCACATGCACTGATGCTGCAATTGAAGCTGATGACATCCACCAGCTTCTTCCGCCGCAGCTCCTTCAACAGCGCCAGCGCGCGGCCCCAAGCGGTGTCGCCCGTGGCGTCACCCGTGGCGTCGCGGGACAAAGCGTCGAGCATCGCATTGCAGGCCACCGTGGTCCTGGTGAAATTGGACGTGGTAGCTTCTAGCTACTAGTTTTCATGGCCTCCAATCTACTAGCGATGGCCTCCAACCTCCTAGCGATGGCCTCCAACCTACTAGCGATGGCCTCCAGCCTCCAACCTACTATAGCGATGGCCTCCAACCTACGAGAGCGATGGCCTCCAACCTACTAGCGATGGCCTCCACCCCATTAGGGATGGCCTCCAACCTACCACCGATGGCCTCCAACCTAATAGCGATGGATTTAATCTTAGCCTAATAGCGATGGCCTCCAACCTACTGTAGCGATGGCCTCCAACCTACTGTAGCGATGGCCTCCAACTACTGTAGCGATGGCCTCCAACCTACCAGCGATGGCCTCCAACCTACTAGCGATGGCCTCCAACCCATTAGGGATGGCCTCCAACCTACGCCACCGATGGCCTCCAACCTACTAGCGATGGCCTCCAACCTACCAGCGATGGCCTCCAACCTAGTAGCGATGGCCTCCAACCTACTAGCGATGGCCTCCAAACTACTAGCGATGGCCTCCAACCTAATAGCGATGGCCTCCAACCTTATAGCAATGGCCTCCAACCTAGCTTCCAGCTACTAGTACTGTACAATGCCATTCAATTCCACAAATTGGGAAACCCGTCACAAGTGGTCATCTACTAAGTAACCTCAAAAGATAAGGCTTCTCAGCATGGGATTGGCCGCCCGATGAACACCCACACAGCACACAACAAATATCCACTGACCCCACGCAGCAAAGGCCGGGCTATCAAAAAGAAAATTAATATATATCAAACAAAAAATTTTTATATCCTATAAAAAAAAGACTATTTTGTACCAAACAAATTCTCTCACAAAGAGCTGCGCCTGCCACTGCAAACCGCCTTGGCAGCGCTGCGCGCTGTGAATCTGGATGTGCAGATTTCGTGGCGCGCGCAGCACTTTGAGCATCTCCAGTGGCAGATTTCGTGGCAGGAGCAGCACTTTGTGCACTGGAACTGCAGATTTCGTGGCCTGCGCAGCACTTTGATCACCTCTAGTAGCAGATTTCGTGGCAGGAGCAGCACTTTGTGCACTGGAACTGCAGATTTTGTGGCAGGCACAGCACTTTGAGCACCTCCAGTAGCAGGTTTCGTGGCAGGAGCGGCGCTTTGCGCATTGGAAATGCAGATTTCGTGGCAGGCGCAGCGCTTTGAGCACCTCCATGTAGCAGTTTTCGTGGCAGGAGCGGCACTTTGTACGCAGCACTTTGAGCACCTTCAGTTGCAGGGCTCGTGGCAGGCGCAGCACTTTGTGCACTGGAACTGCAGATTTCATGGCAGGCGCAGCACTTCGTGAACCTCAAAGTGCAGATTGCGTGAACCTCCGTCTATAAGCGCAGACTTCGTGGCAAGCGCAGCGATTGCGAACCTTGTAGTGCAGTTTCCGTGGCGTTTGTAAAATTCTGTGGATCTGAAGACCTGTGAAAAGAGCTCTTGATATCTCTGGATCTGAACGTCTTTCTACACTCTGTGCAAGTATAGAACTTAGATTTCAACACCTCCCTGGATCTCAAGACTCAAGACCTCTACACCTCCATCTTTAGGTCTGTGGGTTTCTAGACCTCTACACCTTCAGATCCGTCTGGATCTCCAGGCCTCTGGATCTTTGTAGATGTAGACCTCTCTGCATCTCAACCGTGATCTGTCTGAATTTCACGATGGCTCGCAAAACCACAAGACCTGTGGATGGCTCACGAAAGGTCTGCTATGTTGGAATGGCACCTTCAACAGGTCTGCTCCTGTAAATTTTGCCCTCGCATGGCTCACAAAAGGTCTGCTACGTTGGAATAGCAAGTTCTACCCTCGGGTTGCTCACAAAACAAAGGCCTGCTACGTTGGAATGGCAACTTCTTCCTCTCTCTAGGTTTCAACCTCGCAAGGCTAACAAAAGGTCTGCAACGTAGGAATGGCTCCTTCCTCTGCTACCTTGGAATGGCATTTTCTTCGTCGAAATTTTACCGTCAGGGTGGCTCACAAAAAGGTGTGCTGCGTGTGGCGATAAAAGGTCTGCTACGGTGCTTCACAGGATGTATGACCAGATTTCCAAATCACCTTTAACGCGTCTTGCCTCGAAAGTACAGACCCAAGCAAGGACCCGAAGACCAGGACGAAGGACCAAGAGGACCAAGGGACCAGAGGACCAAGGGACCAGAGGACCAAGGGACCAGAGGACCAGACAGACCAAGGGACCAGACACACCAAGGGACCAGGGGACCAAGGGACCAGGACAAAGGGACCAAAGGACCAAGCGACCAGGGAACCAGCAAACCAGGACCAAAGGAGTAGGGGAATAAAGTTTGAGACGAATTAATGTCTTTTTTGATAGGAATCAACTTTCTTTTTGATAGGAATTAATCTTCTTTTTGATAGGTATCCCCGCAGCAAAGCCCTCCGAATCGTTTACAAACGAACAGCTGAAGCCGAGAATCAGCTCCAAGCGGATCTTGGGTATCTCATAGAAGAAATGCCAAGCTGCTTCCCACCTTCCAGCTTTCCCACAAGCACTGATCCTCGACACACGACAAATTGGCCACAAAAACTTGGCGAAATGTGGCGAAATACTATATAGACATTCAAAGGACTCGAACCAAACTCAAGGTCTCACTTCAATTCTGGCCAGGTTTTGATATTGTATGATATTGTATTATTGGTTTTCTTCTGATGAGAAAAAAAAACTCCCAAGCTGAGTCAAGAGTTCAGTGCGCTGAAGGTGACAATGTCACCAAACTGCCTCATCCTTCTCGATTGCACGAGCAAACACACGGCCATTTCCCATTCAGCCCCACAAGCGCTGATGGCTGCATTGTAGGCAAACACCTGGCAAACTGTGTTCAAAAGAACTTCTATTGATCTAATTTTTTGATGTTTTTTGGCTGTTGGGTGGTCTTCCAAACTAGTCCTAGATTCCAAACCTTAGCTAATGGCCGTTGCTCTCCAACTGTGGCTTTTAGCCGGCCTCGAAACAATTACATAGTTGCACAGCAGCGCCGAGAAAGGTGAAATATTCAATTGTCGCACAAAACTAAACCCACGACAAAACATAGGTTCTGCAATCTCACACTGTCTAAAAAGGATCTTGGTCCAGCGTCTTCTATGTAAGGACCCTGAAAGTATGCTCACTGCTACTAAACAGCCTTGCTGTAGGCTATGTTGAGTGGTTGTCTTGACAGCACATGTTATTCCCGTGTTGATACCGGGTGTTCTGTTTCTTCCTCGCCAAGTGGCATTTGCTTGCACCCGCAGCTGCAGCATCATTTGTAGAGCAGTGAGTGCCTGTTGCCATTCACCATCTTGGGAACCTTCAAGCAGTGCAAGTCAAAGCCACAACGCATTGCCCAACCACGCCCGATCAATATCATTCACTTGACACCATCACAGGGGCACATCACCCCAGCAGTTGTCTTCGCAAAGAGAAACCACTTCAATATATCCACTCAAGCATTTATAGTCCCGGACTGAAACTTAGAATGTGCGTTTGGACTTTGGTAAGCATAAAACTCACCATCCAACGTATTCCATGAAGCACGGATGCAGAGAGACCGGCGGGAGTGAAGAGATAAAAAAGTGTGTGAGCGGGAATTGCAACTGTCATTCTAAGTGCAAAAGCATTGATAAATATGCACTCAGAGAAACGTTTTTTGAAGAGCAAACAAGGTGTAATAGCAGTTTTCCATTCCATAACTCACATTCTAACTGCAAAGTCGGGCCAAATACCACGCACATTCTGAGTTCCTCGCCAATAATTTTGGAAGCCAAAACGCATTCTAAATTTCAGTCCGGGACGTCTGAATAATCATATACATACCTGATAAAAAGTATCAATGTGGTCATGAGGGTGAGGGGTGGGTGCGAGGAACTCACCTCTTTTCCTATCACATCCTCCCCCATGAGCTCCCACTCCATATGGGGTGCCCATTTGCGTATGGTTAGGGGGGGGTCTTCATCATAAAACCAGGCACCCCCAAGAATTTCAAGGATTTCTTGCAATCAGTCTTTGCCAACCACGTCCTCCTCCACTACGCATGTCTTCCGCATGAACTCCCACCCAATATGGGGTGCCCTTTTGCGTATGGCTGGTTGACAGGCGTCTTCACCATTAAAAAAGAGCACTCCCAAGCAACTCCAAGATTTCTTGCAAGCCCTCTTTTCCTACCACATCCTCCTCCGCTATGCCTGTCTTCCACCTTCCCCACAGCATTCTGTTCCCTCTCCTGCCCTCACAGATCACACAGTGTCTTAAGGGACACACACCTCCCTCCCAGCACTGGTCGAACACTTTCAATGGCCACCAAACACGCACATAGCCAGGCTCTGGATTCGCCCTCCGAAATTTGGCGCTGTGCGACCAAACCACCCCAGACCCCCCTATACTCACTTCGTTCGCCCGGCCCAACCCAACTCCAGCCTAGCCTATCGGCTGGCTTTCGTGATAGTTATATATACACGAATCAAGAAAGGTAAAAAACACATGCACTCACCTGCAATCTAACACCACGCTTAATTACAGTGCCCACTTCACTGTTTCGTTTTGCTCGACAAATACACCAAAGGAAAATAGAGGAATGACCAACAAACAACTCAAACCATTGAAAACACCACAATTCGATGCCAAAACACATACGCCGAGGTTTGGTTTGAAGAATGTGAACAACCGTCACCCGTCAGCAAAGGAACCACCACCACCACCACCATGATCATGATCATGATTCATGATCATCATCAGTCATCAGTCATCCAAATCATTCGAGTGGCAGGCGCTGATGGCGCTTGTGAATGTGACCACATTGCCTTGCAAATCTTGCGAATTGATCGCCCACAGCAGCTCAAGGGCTTCTTGCCACCAGCCATTCTTGGCACAGGCACTGATAGCCGTGTTGTATGTAATGATTGTTGCCTGCACTTTTCGTGCTTGGATCTGCTGCAGGAGGCAAATAGCCAAATACGACCTCAACCACTAGCCAACACACCTGTAAACATCGCAAAGTTCATTGCGAGTTGCATTAAAAGATCATTCTTACGTCAGTTCCAAGATCCGCGTTCAACCATCTGACAAGCTCAAAACTCAAATGGCCGACATCCACCAAGGCACCGCCCCGCCGCGTCGCATGCTGCCATGGTGGAGTTGTAGGTAATGATGTCAGGCTCGATGCGGCTGCCACCAACTTGTGATAGGAAGGCCAAAGCTAGCTGCCACTGGCTGCCTTTGGCGCTAGCACCTCTAGTTGAAAAGCCGAGGTGGTGAAAAGTACAGGGCTCGCGAGCTCTCAATTTCGAATTTCCCGTCAGGCTACGTAACATTACGTAACAAGCTACGGTTGCGTACATCAAGTTACAATTGTCAGCTGAAAACTGCAAGACCTTTCTTTGACCAGCATGACGTTGCTGCAGTGGAACTGATCGCGGCATTGTATGTGACCAGCGAGCACTGCAAACTTTCGAATCGAAGTGCTTCCAGAAGGCAAAGTGGCACCTCCCATTCTTCACCTGTCCCCAAAGCTCTTTGGTTTGGACGTGTCTAAATAATATATGATACTTTCCAAGCATTCCTTCTGTCCAAACTGAAAACAACTTGAAAATCAGTCGGTCATAATTGTTGTACTCCCAACTTTGTCTCAGGCTGTTGCTTTGCCATTTCTGCACCATTTCAAAGCGACACATCAAATGGGCAACCGCCCCATCCTACACAAAACAGCTTCAACTGAATCAAGCCACCTTTTGCGCATGCGCTGAGTGTTGAGTTGAATACAATTGTGTTGGGCTGCAGGTCTACGTTCTTCATCGCTTGAAGCAATACCAGCGCAACGGTCCATTCTCCGGACTTCTCACAAGAACTCATGGCTGCCCCATATGTAATGTGATTGCCCTGCATCTCATGTTTTTCCAGATCCTCTAGCAATGCCAAGGCCATGGGCCACTTCCCACAAGCATGGATGGCCGCATTGTACGTGACCAAGGATGCTTGCAAGGCTCCATGGATCAAATTGCTGAACAAATGTGAAGCGACTCTCCATTGAGCTGGCCCTTGTTTAACGGTATTTGAGATAGCTTGGTTGTACTCAATCACATCTTTCAGGTCTCGCAAATCTCGAGGCGCGGTGCCGATTTCTTGGAGCTCGGACATTCAGCCTCCGACACTTCCGCCACTCCATTCTGAGCGCCTGGGGGACCAAGCTCCGTCGCCCAAGGAATAGAACTTCAGGGTGCCACCCGTAGCTGTGGACTTTCGCGGGACCTTCCAACTCCTTCCTAGAGCCTCCTTGAGCCAGGGTGTCGCTCGCCATGCGCGGCGATTCTAAAATGGCCACCGTATTCCAAAACGGTTGCTAGCTGAGAGCAGCTGGCAAAACGAAAGTTGCCATGCATCATGGAGTCTAGATTAACCGAGTTAGCAAAGCGTCAAATAAACTCTACAGTAATGCCTCCGCCGCATCCTGCTTTTCTCCAAAGGAACTGCAAACGCTGCAGGCTCTGTTGAAGTTCCCAAGGTAAAGGAGACTGCAAGTCATGCCTACCTCCTACTCGATCAAGGAAAATAAGTCGGTGTCTGTGCAACCAATTCTGAGAGCAACCAAGCTCTTGCCCATCTTCCAGGAAGGTCTCCTCGTTCGTGTACAACCCATCCCGCACGCTTGGATGACCAACATAGGACAAAACGCTTCGGATTTGATGCTTCCTCCCAGTAACCTCAATTGAGAGCTCTATATATATATGCATATATAGTTATATATATATGTGCATATGAGCGACGTGCAACACCTCTTACAGTATGTGTTGTAGTGCGCGCTCTTCCCAACGTTATCGTTTTTCTGTGAACCTTGTCGTTCCTGAGGGTTTGGACACACCTAACAACATGTATTGAAACAACTTATCATGTGTTTTTTTTCTGAAAACCTTATCGTTCCTGAAGGTTTCCTTCACTTTACTTACTTAGTCTTCACTGTAGTGATGCTGCCTTCATCGGAGGTTTTTGCAGTTGCTCTATATACATATATATATATATTTAGAGAGAGAGAGAGATGGAGCCATGAACACCTAGCAAGGCTTGGGGTTGTTTGGCATATGTTCTCATAATTATAATCCTTCTGAGCAGTGCATGTCAATGTCTCCCACCCAACGTTCTTGCAGCAGGTATGTTTTCCAGCTACATTAGTTCCTGCTTCTCCTGAAGGCTCAACAAATCTCGGCTATGGATCCCCCAGCTGCAGCTCAGAAGCTATGCGCAACAGCAGCTCTGAGAACGTCCGCGCTTTCTGTTGAGCATGGCCCAAGCACTCCAGATTCGTACAGCTCCATTTCCCACGACCGCCGGGAATACTGGGACCTTTGCTGCTGAGCAAGTGTGCTTGGATCTGCCTTGAGGATATTGGTAGCAAGCCATGAGCCAAAACCATGTAGTCACGAAGAAACTCTCCCACATGCAATTGCACTTGAAGATCATAGAAAGCTTCATAGGTCTTCGCAAACATTATTAGTCCTTCCGTGGAGCTTCTGGTGCGGCATGAATGCTCTGAGTCACATAATGAATGGCATCGTGCCCTCTATTCCGAGCCCAAGCGCAAACCAAGCTTAGAGTACGCAAAACATTCAATTGAAGACCACTATATAATCATTGTATATTGTTGTAGAGTCTGAGTTTACACACCCTTCAAGACATCAAGATCAAGTGAAGATTGACATTTCCCTAACGATGCAAAAACGGCTCCTGAACTGGGAACATCCAAACGATGCAAAAAACCCAAGTTGTGATTCTCATCTGCGAGGATTGGCCGATCGCCTTGCTTTTCCATTCGGAGAAGCCATGTCCCATGTCAAACCTTTATAATTTATATTCTCAAAGAAGTTCAGCCATTCTTCACTGAGCTTTCCCATAATTTAAGAGTTTGCCGTTTGCCGTTGAGTTACTTGAGGCTCACTGGGAGCTTTGAAACGTTTTGGGTTTGTTATGGTTTGTTGTAATTACTACCGTGGAAGTGTTGCCAAGGTGCCATACGACCGCAGAAACTCTGACAGCTGGCGTGGGTGGTGAGCACCGTAGACCTAGCATTGAAATCTCGCTGCCATGCCCAAGAAGTGGGAATGCTGCTTATGTCAAACTACCAACCATCAATTATGCTACTGACCAAGTCTAACCACCCTCGAACAAATGATTAAACATACCAGAATGCTCTCATGCAGTACATGAATAATCTAAGCGCCTCCCAGCCCCCCTGGCTTGAACAAGACCACGCGATCTCCATAGTCACCGGCGAAACAAGGCAAGTTCTTGGTTTTCTCCAAAACCTGCAAGTGGCAATCACGACTACTTCAACATGTCGCAAGTGAGGATCGCTATTGCCACCTCGGTTAAAAAAAAACACACTTCCAAGTTTTCCGAGGTTTTTCAATAAAGCAACTGTAAGGGAAAATCGTGTCTGGGAATACTCACTAGGCACACGCAAGCTGATTTTTTAGAGGTTGTGGGTCTTACAAAGCTGAAGTGGCCTAGAAGTGGCCAAATGCCCCAAGACTTCGCCTCCACATCTTGCACTGGAAGAGAGGGTCCTTCCGCGTCGATGGAATCCATGGTGCGTCCGAAGTCAAGGAGACTCCGGTGGATCGATACTTTCAAGTGCTGACGCAAGAGGCCAGCACGCTGGCAGGAGGACACAAACCCCAGTAGGGAAATGCCCTTGAGCTGAAAGGCCATGTCCTTTGGCCTTGGAGTCTTGACTCTGACGGACTCAGAATGCAAACCGATTTGGAATGAAGATTGATTTGTTGTATAATGTTATATATATATATATTGTGTTTAAGCCCGCGGCCATGCCACCTTTCTTACTTAATTAAGTATGGGAGAAGTTCGCTCCTGGCTACTTAGGCTACTAGTATGGAGCTTCCTTGAAGAAGCGCTCGACTCGCACTGATGATTTTGTTCCTAGATTTTTAGGGAAACTTAACACAATATGGTGATTGCCTTTCTTTGGGAACACATATACTTGGAGTGAGGGTTTTGTTGCCGTGTCAAACTGAACCTGTTGACTTAAACATGGTGATGCAACAGCTATCTTGAGAAAGTCATAATGATTATTGAAGTTGGAGCAAAGCTGCTGGGGGGTACAAGGGTACAAGTAGGTTTTCATGCTGATGTTCATCTATGGTATGTGTGAGATGTGGCCACAGGCATTTGAGGTCTTGACTGTGAATGTGCCAATTTCAAGGCGAGGCACTGTAGAGCCTCGGACCTTTCTTCCGCTGCTTGCTGTAATCGATCGAAGGTGGTGATGTCAGGCCTCCGCTCCACCGCGACGGCGACCAGGAGCAGCTGCTCCAAGGAACAACTTTGCAGGTTTTCCAGAAATCGTTGGCACAGGGACCTGAAGCTGCCAGCGATTACATCCAAGAAACACCTTGACCAAAGCAGCAAAATGAATGCTGCCATTGAAACATTTAAAACCACAAAAGAACTCTCTAGTTTCTTCTTCGACTTTTCTGTGCCTTTCGAGTCTCTGCTGGTTGATGCCCAGGCGTGCCATACACCAAAGGAGCTGCACCACGTTGGCTACTTCGAGGTCCAAAGTCAAGGTCTCTCTGAAGGATGCACAAATCACCTCCACTTGTTTTCTGGGGAGTCATCTTGGTCTACGTGGAAACCAAGTCAAACAAATCGACGGGCTCCAATGTCACCAAGCAAGTTCCTTTTTCTAATCTTCGTTGGCTTTGCCAACATTGTTGGTGCTGCTAAATGCATTGCTTGTTGCAAGCCACAGCACCGAATGAGCATGCGGCGGGTTCTTTGATGCATCGTCACCCCAGGAAGGGTAAGAACCACAGCCGTCCACATGAGATTTGCCAACATGGTGATGCTTGTTACCTACTTGAACCCAATCCCTTGTGCCGTCTTCACGGACAACAGCAGCCCACTGGTCATCACCCACAAAGAGTGGACCATGCGATGCTAAGAATGATGTGGCTTCCTGCAGAGTCAAGAGTTGGCCACAGCGCTGGGCCGCAAACTGCTGTGAGTCCTCCCAAGTCAAGCTAGGACCTGGCTTTAGCCACATTGGCTCACAAACTTCGCCCGTCTCTTTGCGCCACAGTGCCGAGCTCTGTTTCACCCACTTTGAATCGCCCAGCACCCAACCAGCGGCGATCCACAGGAGTGAACGTGCATGTGGTGGATTGCCTGCCGCATCATCACCCCAACGAGGATATCCACCACAGCTTTTAACATGAGATTTGCCAACACGATGAATCTTGTCACCCACCTGAATCCAATCCCGCGAGCCATCGCTTGCCACCACCGCGGCCCATTGGTCACCTCCTGGACACAAAGCCCCAGATTTTTTCAGGAAATCTTCGGCCTCTTCCAGCAAGAGCAATCGTCCACCCAATCTTGCGGCGTTTTGCTTGGACGCTTCCCAGGTCAAACTACAGCTTTGCTTCTGCCAAATCGGACCTTTCTTGGTGTCCTCCGGATCCAAATCTTCAATCCACAGGACGCTGCGAGCGTGAGGTGGATTTCCAGAAGAATCATCCCCCCCAATGAGGATATCCACCACACTCATCCACATGAGACTTGCCCAAATGATGAATTTTGTTCCCCACTTGGAGCCAATCACGCCAGGCGGTGCCATCACTACGGGTCACTGCCACCCATTGGTCTTCTCCAGGCCACAGGGGCCCATGATCTCCCAAGAAGCTGCGGGCCTCCTGTGGTGCGCGCCCTCCAACTCTCAGGGAAAAAAGGATGACCATTCTGGCACCATATGGCATGCATATCCTGCGAACCATCGCAGGATGTTATATAACTACCATGGTTTTAGACGTTAAGGTCTTCGCTTAAAGGCAGTGAAAAGCTGATGGGTCGGTATGTTATATATATCATATATCAGTTTGTTTTCGCCGTGCAAAAGAAAACAATTTTGGGGAGACCACACGCACAACCACCAAATTGGCTAAGCATTTGGTGCATTCAGTACTTGCCCATAGATTTGACTCTGCTTCCGTCACATGCTTGGATAGCCTTAACATTCTGAGCTGACCTAAAACATCCAACAAAACTTGAAGAATAGAACCAATCTGACACTGACTACAAATCTTTCAGTGGAACTCCTTATAAGCCTTATACCAAACCTACCCAAA